TCGAAATCCAACTGAGTCCCATGGTAAAGAGCCTAACATCTACACCACCGACTCTGATACATCTAATTAAACACGAATAAAGAAAGAACAAGATAAAGTAGAAGACCCATACCCATACATTAGACACTAAGGTATAACATGCAGGCAAAAGAAGTGGGCAATACACTGATGATGACAGTGAAAATGATAAAGAAAAGGGACTTTCACTTTGAGTGAAGAGAAGCCTATTGAAACACAATAATCGCCATTTAGATCTGAGGAAAAGTAAGACATAGACAGTAAGAAAGAAAAGAGGGAAAGAAAAGTAGGACTTACTAGTGGCACTCTCCAAACACTCATGAAAAGGGAACATAAATACCTAGCCAATAATACAAACAAATAACCGGTAAGATAGATTCCATACAGTAAATTTATTAAATGTATTTTTTAACTTCAGGCACAAAAGGAGCTCTTTGTACAGTTCTGACAAATTCAATTTTACACAAAGACAGGTAAACTGACATGCCTAATACATAGCAGTTCAGTCTTTTTACACAATTAATTATGCACTGTCACGTATCACTTAAAAAGTTGTCATGCAAACAAACTAAATAGTGTTTCTAGGGATCAGCAATGACTGATCAGAGGCAAGTCACTGCTTGAGGCCAAAGAGGCAACAATGAGGGGTCGGAGTTAATTCAAGACATGAATCCTAAAGGGCCAACAACATGAGGTGATACTACAGGTAAAGTTTTATAGGGTCTCCAAAAGCTAACGTAGATTATAGAGTACTGAGGGTCAACAACATGGTTATACTACTGGTAAAGTTTTATAGGGTCTCCAAAGGCTAACGTAGATTATAGAGTACTGAGGGTCAACAACATGGTTTACTGGTAAAGTTTTATAGGGTCTCCAAAAGCTAACTTAGATTATAGAGTACTGAGGGTCAACAGCATGGGGTCGGACTAAAGCTAACTCAGGACGAGAGTACTGAGGGACAATAATGTGGGGTCTTACTGAAGGCAAAATTATAAATGGTCAACAAAGTGGGGTCAGAAATAAGAGTCCTGAGGGCCAACAACAGGGGCTTGGACTAAAGGTAAAGTTCTAAAGGGTCACAGCAAAGTCAAGACATGAGTAGGACTACTGTAGGTCAACAACGTGGGGTCGGACTACAAGTTCTAAAAAGTCACCAATTTGGGTGGGAACAAAGTCAAGACAAACTTGAAGGTAGGGTCAACAACGTGGGGTCGGACTAAAGGTAAAAGATCTAAATGGTCACCTAGGTCAAGACGTGAGTCTTGAGGGTCAGCAACAACATAATAATGATAATAATGTAGATCATTTCTATAGCGCTCATTCCAGTTTGAACACAGTCCTTGGCGCTTTACATAAATGCTTGTACCAACAATATTCACACTCACACTCACACACACACACACACACACACACACACACACACACACACACACACACACTCACACACACACCTACTTCCTTACACGTGCGCTTACACATCATTACGAAATGGGTCACAGCTAAGTCAAGACGTGAGTCTTGAGGGTCAACAACATAATAATAATGTAGATCATTTCTATAGCGCCCACTCTCGTTTGAACACAGCCCTTGGCGCTATACATAAATGTACCAACAATATTCACTCACCACACACACACACGTGCGCACACGTGCACGCCCCACACACACACACACACGCCCCACACACACACACACACACACACACACACACACCTTGCTTATTACACGTGCACTTACACATCGTTACGAACTGAGCACATACAAATACATAATAGAATACTATGCAATTCGCAAAATATATCCATAGTCATTTACAAAACATTGTACTGAACATGAATCTACTATTATAAAAATGATGTCATTAAATATGCCTTTAAAGATATCTTAAATCAAGACTCAGGTGGATGTCTCAAGGGTTGGGGAAGACAGTTCCAAACTGATGGAGCAAGGTGGGCAAACGATCTTTCAACATGAGGTCGGAGGAAAAGGTAACGTTCTAAAGGGTCACAGCTAAGTCAAGATATGAGGCTTTATGGTCAACAACGTGGGGTTGGACTAAAGGTAAAGTTCTAAAGGGTCACCAATTTGAGTTGGAGCTAAGTCAAGACATGAAACTTGAGGGACAACAACGTGGGGTTGGACAAAAGGCAAAGTTGTAAAGGGTCACAGCTAAGTCAAGACATGAGTAGGCCTACTGAAGGACAACAAAGTTGGGTTGAACTAATAGTAAAGTTCTAAATGGTCAGAGTTAAGTCAAAAAACATGAATCTTGAGGGTCAACAACGTGGGGTTGGACAAAAGGTAAAGTTCTAAAGGGTCATCAATTTGCGTTGGAACAAAGTCAAGACATGAAACTTGAGGGTAGGGTCAACAACGTGGGGTTGGACTAAAGGTTAAGTTCTAAAGGGTCAGAGTTAAGACATTACTCTTGGAGGTCAACAACGAGGGGTCGGACAAAAAGTAAAGTTCTAAAGGGTCACAGCTAAGACATGAATCTTAAAGGTTAAAACAACGTGGGGTTGGACTAAAGGTAAAGATCTAAAGAGTCACAGGTAAGTCAAGACATGAATCTTAAGGTTCAGCAACGTGGGGTTGGACTAAAGGTAAAGATCTAAAGACTCACAGGTAAGTCAAGACATGAGGCTTAAGGGTCAACAACGTGGGGTCGGACTAAAGGTAAAAGATCTAAAGGGTCACCAAAAGGGGTCGGAGCTAGATCAAGACGTGAGCCTGGATGGTCAACAACATAATAATGTAGATCATTTCTATAGTGCCCATTTCTATAGTGCCCACTCCCGTTTGAACACAGCCCTTGGCGCTTTACATACTTGCTTATTACACGTGCACTTACATATCGTTACGAACTGAGCGCATAGAAATACATAAATATATACTACGCAATTCGCAAAATACATAAATGGATACACAGTCATTTACAAAACAACATGAATGTACCATTATAAAAATGATGTCATTAAATGCGTCTAAAGATATCTTAAATTAAAACTCATGTTGTATGTCTCAAAGGTTGAGGAAGACAGTTCCAAACTGATGGAGCAAGGTGTGCAAACGATCTTTCAACATGAGGTCGGACGAAATGGGAAAAGTACTAAAGGGTCACAGCTATGTCAGGATAACTAAAGGTAAAGATCTAAAGACTCACAGGTAAGTCAAGACATGAGTCTTAAGGGTCAACAACGTGGGGTCGGACTAAAGGTAAAAGGTCTAAAGGGTCACCAAAAAGGGTCGGAGTTAGGTCAAGACGTGAGTCTTGAGGGTCAACAACATAATAATGTAGATCATTTCTATAGCGCCCACTCCCGTTTGAACACAGCCCTTGGCGCTTTACATAAACGTATGTACCAACAATATTCATTCACACACACACACACACACACACACACACGCGCGCGCGCGCGCGCACACACACACACCTACTTGCTTATTACACGTGCACTTACACATCATTACGAACTGAGCATATACAAATACATAAAATAATATATACTATGCAATTCGCAGATACATAAATGGATATATAGTCATTTACAAAACCTTGTAATGAACATGAATCTATTATACAAATGATGTCATTAAATGTGTTTTTTAAAATATCTTAAATTAAGACTCATATGTTGTATGTCTCAATGGTTGATTGATTGATTGATTGAGTAGATGTTTTACGGCACTATCGACTCAATTTTGGTCATTTAAGCGCCAACAGGTTTCACCGCTACAAAATCAGACGTGTTTTTAGTAAGAGTCTTTCGGAACCCGCAACAGCACACGATCACACTATTTTCATAATGCTAAAAAGACGAACAAACATGGATACATAGTCATTTACATAATATTGTACTGAACATGAATCTACTGACATAAAAAGGATGTAATTAAATGTGTCTTTAAAGATTTTTTTTATTTAGACTCAGATGTTGTATGTCTCAAGGGTTGAGGAAGACAGTTCCAAACTGATTGAGCAAGGTGAGCAAACGATCTTTCAACATGAGGTCGGACGAAAAGGTGAAGTTCTAAAGAGTCACAGCTAAGTCAAGACATGGATCTTATCGGCACAAGCCGGTGGCTAAAACAATGGATTCGTATCATTTGTTTCTTTGTTCAACCAAGCCCCTAACCTGAGGCTTTGGAAGGGGAGGCGCCATTCAATTTATGGACATTGGAGTGCAAACATCGGCAGTGCTTTCCGATGCTGAAATTGTGGAGCAAGTGAAGGAAGCTTCTAAAAACAAACAGTGAAGACCATGAGCAGATAAACGGGACAATAAGCTTTGCGGAGGCAAAACAAAGTATGGAGAAATTGAGCGACTATTTCGTAGTCAATTGGATGCAAACGGATGTACAAAAGTGTCACAGATGCTGGAGAAACAGCAGCAACAACCATCCATATCTACCTTTTTCCCTTCTCTTGGGAAGAAATAAGTTACTGTCCACATGAACCATGCATACCATTCCTATTACTATGACCGAAACGGACTAAGAGAACACTTATGGTTGTGTGTATCGACTAAAATAAAGAACTACGTATATAAAGAACTATTTTTACACCCCGGGCTTGTTATTTATGTCAGTGTTTCACTGTATGTCAGTAAACTCTACAGAGGGGTAGGAACTAAGTCAAGTAGCCCTACAGGGGTAATGAATCAGTGACCTTCAGACTTTTCACAACTACAAACTTCTGGTCAAGAAAATACTGGTGGTATCAGAACGTCTCCCACAGAAGGTCAAAGGCCAAACTAAAAGCTGGCAGTGCTGGTTTATTTTTTAATGATCAAGTGAGTAAACATTTAATTACGGTACCAATAAACTGCAAGGAACACTTTAGAAGACAAAATCAACTCCATCAACCTCACACTCAAGCTTAAAAACAGCAGGCAGCTCTTATCCTATTCCAACCCTGCCATCCCCCCTCCCCCCTTTAAAAAAAAAACAACCAAACACTGCCCCCTCAACTACCTCCCGCCATGGCCATGGCAACACCTACGAAATCCTACTCTGAACCTAGCCTAACCACCTAGCTCCCTATCAACCTATCTGCCCTTCTCTACAGCTACAGCCCCACTGTGTCACTTTAAGCCTGAGTGTGATATACAGAAAATGTAGCACCAGAGCACTGTGAGACTTGTTTGACCAGAATAGTGGCTAGACCTTCTAATATCACCAAAGTTTGGACTGAAAGTAAGAACGAAATGTCTTGTTCTAAATCAGTGAACATGTATCTCAGTGACTTCTTATAAATAAAATCTCCAGCTGGATATCATACAAGGAATGTTGTTCTCTTGAGTCTTTACTGGTTTTACAGTACTATCAACATAACTTCACAAGAGAAATAAAACTGCTTCATCAGCTTTTAAAGTTGTCCATGGTAGCTATCTGGAGGAAGTGACTAGTCCATTCAAGAGCAGCTGCATGTTGGCGGGATTCTAGATGCCTGGCAATTGTCCGTTAGTTCTTGACCGACTGAATAAAAGATTGTTTCACAGTGCTATTGACACAATTTGACCATGTCAGCAAGCACTCTCACTTGGCTGAATGACATAATGCAGAAGAGGGGATGCTACAATCCAGGTTGAATGGAAGACCCTTGTCTGGACAGAGCATATGCTTCTTGGGTGGCTTTCAATATTTGGCTTGGCAGCTTTCTGAGAAAAAAAAATGAGTTATAGCTTGAGTTACCAAATTTGACAAACGACAAGTACATAGATGCAATAGTGGTCACTTTTAGTACATTATGAATAAAACTACTGAGAAAAAGAAAAAAGGAGGACCTGACATTGACACCCTCCATCAACAAAAAATAAGATATAGTAGTAAATCTAGTTTTATTATGAACCGGTACATATCTTATGGTGCAACCGAGAAAATTTATTATGTCAGTGCCATTCATACAGATTTTCCAAATATCTTCCTTTCTTAGTCCTGATTAAAAGGACAGGGCGACATTTATAAAAATCAGTCATTAAAAACTTTATCATTTTCCCTTTTCATTTAAAGGAAAAATAACTTTTACATTGAACCCAAACGCAACTCACCAATAGGTATTTTTTAAATTTTACTGTAATAATGAACAAATAATGTTCCAAGAGATATTTTAATGAAAAATACCTCCTGTAGATGGTCCTGTCGTGGATTCCTTTGGGTTCTTCTCTGCTCGTTGTCCTGTCCAGAGGGTGGTCCTGGTGATGAAAACGTGTGTTAATTAAGAATATCCGCTTTCGTCTACACAATTTGTTCTTTTGTTCTGGAGAAAAAAAAGTCTTTAATATTGTTTACTTATGGTTTAAAAGGAAAGGAGAATATTTATAAGAAAAAAATTATGTCTGTAAAAACGTCCATTTTTTCTGCAATAATAATAAAACTTTTGCATTGAACTCAGTCACACCTGGAGGTACTTTTCAAATTTTATTTAAAGATAAACAATGTTCCAAGACATAGTTCACAGACAAATACCTCCTGTAGATGGTCCGGTCGTGGGATCCATCAGGTCGTCCTCCAGGGGGTGGTCCTGGTGATGATTTACACAAATCTGTCAGTAAATACGTTTAACAATTTTTATTTTACCAAAGTGTAAAAATTTAACTTTTACCTTGAACCAAAGTCCCACCAATAGATCTTTCTACTGTTACTATAATTAGGGATGTAGAAATGGAAAAATAATGTTCCAAGAAATATTTTAAAAAACAAATACCTCGTTAGGAGATCCTTCGGGTCGTCATCTCAAGGGGGTGATCCTGGTGATGAAGGAACACAATTAAAAATATCCACTTTCATGTACACAATTTGTTCTTTTGTTTTATAAAACAAAAAGAGTCGCAACAATATTGTTTACTTATGGTTTTAAAGGAAAGGAGGACATTGATAAAAATCTGTCACCAAAGTGAAAAAATAAATCTTTTCCATTGGACTCAGTACCATAGATAGGTATTTTTTTCTAATTTTAAAAATAATGTTCCAACTCATATTTCAACGACAAATACCTCCTGAAGATGGTCTGGTCGTTGGACCCTCCCGGTCATCCTCCTCTCCAAGTGGTGGTCCTGGTGATGAAGATTTGTGTTAATAAAGAATATTTTCTTTCATCTATACAGTTTTTTTCTATTTTAGAAAATAAGAGTTGCCATAATATTGTTTAGCCTACTAACGATTTAAAGGTACGAAAAATATATCTTTTTGTTTGTTTGTTACAGGGTTTTACGGCGCTCGCAACTGCATAAGGTCATATGAGTGTGCGAAACAAGTTGGTAGCATTCGCAACAGTTCACTGCACGGTTTGTCGACAATGAAGACTTTAAGATTTTATTTTTTTCCTTTTTCACTTAAACGCAAAATCTTTAACATTGAAGCCAGACCCACCCCACCAATAGGTATTTTTCTAATTTTACTGTAACAAATAAATAACATTCTAAGACATATTTCACAGACAAATACCTCCTGTAAATGGTCTGGTCATGGGATCCTTCGGGTCGTCCTCCAGGGGGTGGTCCTGGTGATGAAGACATGCGTCGATTTTTTTTTAGTAAAGTCATTATAATATTGTTTACTTATGGTTTAAAAGGAAAGGGGAATATTTATTTAAAAAATCTGTCAGTATATTATACGTTCTACCAATTTTTTTTTCACCTAAAGGTAAAAATAAAACTTTTGCATTGAACTCAGTCCCACCAGTAGGTACTTTTAGCCTTTTACAGAAATAATAAACAATGTTCCAAGACATATTTCACCTCCTGAAGATGGTCCGGTCGTGGGATCCTTCAGGTCGTCCTCCTGTCCAGGGGGTCGTCCTGGTGATGAAGACGTGTCAGTTTAAGAAGTACATTTACAATAATCTGTCAGTAAATACGTTTAACAATTTTCATTTTTTACCAAAGGGCAAAAATAAAACTTTACATTGAACCAAAGTCCCACCAGTAGATATTTTTCTTATGTTACTGAAATTAGTGATAAAGAAATGGACAAATAATATTCCAAGACATATTTCAATGACAAATACCTCCTGATGATGGTCCGATCGTAGGATCATTCAGGTCGTCGTCCTCTCCGGGGGGTGGTTCTGGTGATGAAGATATAAGTCAATTAAGAATATCCATTTTCATCTACACAATCTGTTCTTTTGTTGTAAAAAACAAAAAAGAGTAGGTATAATATGTGTTTACTTATGGTTTAAAAGGAAAGGAGGATATTTATAAACATCTGTAGGTAAATACATTTCACCATTTTTTTTTCATCTTGGTGCAAAAATAAAACTTTTGTATTGAATTAAGTCCCACCAGTACATACTATCAATATCAAATTTTACTGAAATAATTAACAAATAATGTTCCAAGACATGTTTCACAGACAAATACCTCCTGTACATGGTCCGGTCGAGGGATGTTTCAGGTCATCCTCCGTGTCGTCCTCCACATTTCACGCCACTCCAACAACCTCACACTCAAACTCAAAAATCAGCAGGAAGCTCTTCCCACACCATTCTACCCCTGCCACCCATCCCTCCTACCTCCCACCCCCCAAAAAACACCCCAAAAAAACTACACTACCGCCTCAACTACCTCCCGCCATGGCCATGGCAACACCTACGAAATCCTACTCTGAACCTAGCCTAACCACCTAGCTCCCTATCAACCTATCTGGATATCTCTACTGCCCCACTGCATCAATTTAAGCCTGAGTGTGATATGTGGAAAACGTAGCCACAGACCATTATGATACTTGTTGGACCAGAAAAGTGAAGAGACCGTCTGATGTCACCAAAGTTCCGGCCGTCTGAGAATAAATTCCAAGTTAAATTACCGGTAGTTATTGAACTTTTGAGTTTGAGTAAAGAGAATCGCGTGAATGTAATAATGGTTATTAGATGTAAGAAACAAATAAAACAGACAGGCACAAACAACAGGGGGGAAAAGGCCCTGCAATTGGCACACTCCCCCACCGACAATGACAAATAGAAAAATACTGGTTTTTGATTGACTATATAAAATTTCATTTCGCTATTGAGACAATTTGTTAATGTAATTGCCACACACAGGTTTTCCAAACATCTTCCTTTCTTACAACAGTATTCATTAAAAGGAACGACAAGCATTTGTATCAAGGCGCGGTAGGAAGGACATTTATAAAAATATGAAGCATACATGTTTTACATTATTCGCCTAGAGCAAAAATAAAACACTTTGAACCAAAGTCACACCGATGGGTATTTTTCTAATTTTACTAAAATTAGTGATGAAAAGTACAAATTATGTTCAAAGACATATTGCAAGGAAAAATACCTCCTGAAGATGGTCCGGTTGTGGGATCTTCCGGGGTAGTCCTCCGGGTTGCCCTCCTCTTCAGGTGGAGGCCCTGGTGAAGAAGACTGGCATCAATTCAGAGCATTTATAAAAATATGCCAGTATACATATTTATTATGTTTTACCATTTTAAATGTTCAGCTAAATGCAAAAATAAAACATTAAAAAATTCATTGCCAAGGTATTTTTCTAATTTTACTTGAAAAAATGGACAAATAAAGTTCCAAGAGATATTTTAATGACAAACACCTAAAGATGGTCCGGTCCTGGGATCTTGTGGGTCATCCTCCACTCCAGACGTACGTCCTGGTGATGAAGACAAGTGTCAATCAGGGACGAAATTTTCACAACTGGCATACACGTATACACGTTTTACCATTTTCATTTTTCACCAAAGAGTTATAAAACTTTTACATTGAGCCAAAGTCCACGGGTATTTTTCTAACTTTACTGAAATTACTGATGAAGAATTGATAATGATGAATATTCCGAGACATATTTCAATGACAAATACCTCCTGATGATGGTCCGATCGTAGGATCGTCAGGTCATCCTCCTCTCCAGGGGGTTGTCCTGGTGATGAACACGTGTGTTTATTAAAAGTATCAACTTTCATCTACACAAATTTTTTTTGTTGTTTTAGAAAACAAAAAGAATCGCTATAATGTTTTTTACTTATGGTTTAAAAGGGAAGGGGGATATCTATAAAAATTTGTCAGTAAATACGTTTTACTTTCTTTTTTCACCTAAGTGCAAAAATGTAACTTTTGCATTGAACCAGTGGGTATTTTACAAATGTTATTGAAATAATAAATAATGTTTCAAGACATATTTCACAGACAAATACCTCCTGTCGATGGTCCGGTCGTGGGATCCATCAGGTCGTCCTCCGGATCGTCTTCCAGGGAGTGGTCCTGGTGATGAAAATGTGTTTGTTTAAGAAGAAATTTTACAAAAATCTGTTAGTACATATGTTTTACCATTTACATTTTTCACCAAAGTGCAAAAATAAAACTTACCTTGAATGAAATTATACGAATATACATTTTTCTAATGGTACTAAAATTAGTGATGAAGAAATGGACAAATAATGTTCAAAGAGATATTCCAATGACAATTACCTTCGGAAGATGGTCTGGTCTTAGGATCCTTCAGGTCGTCCTCTCCAAGGGGTGGACCTGGTGATGAAGACGTGTCAATTAAAAGTGTCCACTTGAATCTAAACACTGTTCTTTTGTTTTAGAGAACAAAGAATCGCAACAGTATTGTTTATTTTGGTTTAAAAGGAAAGGAGCTCATTTATATAAATCTGTAGGTAAATACATTTTCACATTTTTATTTTTCACCAAAGTGCAAAAATAAATCTTTTACATTGGACTCACTACCACAAATAGGTACTTTTTCTAATTTTATAGAAAAAAATGGGGAAATAATGTTCCAAAAGATATTTCAATGACAAATACCTGCTGAAGATGGTCCAGTCGTGGGATCCCAGGGGTCGTCCTCCTCTCCAGGTGGAGGTCCTGGTGATGAAGATGTGTGTTAAGAATATCTCCTTTCATCTAGTTTTTTTTCTTTCTATTTCAGAAAATAAAGAGTTGCCATAAAAACGTTTATACTACTGATTTAAAAGGAAAGAAATATATTAAATCATTTTCTCTTTCCATTTAAGTGCAAAAATAAAACTTAATTTAACGGAACCCAACCAGCACGGCTAGGTATCCCGTTTAAATAACTGAAATAATGAAACAAATAACGTTCCAAGAGTTGACTTTTTTAAATACCTTCTGAAGATGGTCCGGTTATAGGATCTTTCAGGTCGACCTCCTCTCCTGGGGGTGGTCCTGGTAATGAAGATATATATAATTAAGAATATCCACTTTCATCTACACACTTTCTTTTGTTTATGAAAACAAAATAGAGTCGCCATAATATTGTTTACTTATGGTTTAAAAAGAAAGGAGGATATTTTTAAAAATCTGTCAATAACTACATTTTACCAATTGTTTGTTCATCTTAGCGCAAAAATAAAACTTTTGCATCGAACTCAGTCCCAAGAGTATGTATTTTTCCAATTTTACTGAATAAACATATTTCACAAATACCTCCTGTAAATGGTCCGGTCGTGAGATTCATCGGGTCGTCCTCCAGGGGATAGTCCTGGTGATGAAGACATGTGTCAGTTTCAGAAGTGCATTTACAAAAATCTGTTAAATACGTTTTACAATTTTCATTTTTCACCGAAGTGCAAAAATAAAACTTTTACATTGTACCAAAGTCTCATCAAGAGATATTTTTCTAAAGATACTAAACTTAGTGAAGTAAAAAAGGACAAATTATGTTCCAAGACATATTTCAGTGACTACCTCCTGAAGATGGTCCGATCATTGGATCCTTCGGATCATCCTCTCTAGGGGGTGGTCCTGGTGATAAAGACGTAAGTCAATTAAGAATATCTTCTTTCATCTATAGTTTTTTCTAATTCAGGAAATGTTTAAGATTTCCATAATATTGTTCACTACTGATTTAAAAGGAAAGAACTACATTTTATCTTTTTCTCTTTTCACTTAAATGCAAAAAAAAAAACTTACATTGAACCTAGACCCACCCCACCAATACATTTTTCTAATTTTACTACAATAATGAATGTCTAAAGTTCTAAGAAATATTTCACAGACAAATACCTCCTGTAGATGATTCAGTCGAGGGATCCATCAGGTCGTCCTCCGGATCGTCCTCCAGGGGGTGGTCCTGGAGATGAAGACATGTGTCAGTTTAAGAAGTACATTTACAAAAATCAGTCAGTAAATATTTTGAACAATTTTAATTTTTTATCAAAGTGCAAAAATTAAACTTTTACTTTGAACCAAAGTCCAACCAATTAGCCTAGATATTTTTCTAATGTTACTAAAATTAGTGAAGTAGAAATGAACAAATAATGTTCCTAGACATATTATATTTCAAAGACAAATACCTCCTGAAGATGGTCTGGTCGTTTGATCCTTCAGATCGTCCTTTCCAGGGGGTGGTCCTGGTGATGAAGACGTGTTAATTAAGAATTAATATTTTCTTTCATCTATAGTTTTTTTTTCTTCAGAAAATAAAGAGTTGCCATAACATTGTTTACTACTGATTTAAAAGGCGATAGATCTAAATACTATAAATCGTTTTCTCTTTTCATTTAAGTGTAAAAATAAAACAAATTGAACGGAATCCAACCAGTAAGCCAAGTCATCTTTTTAATATCATTGAAATAATGAACAAAAAATGTTCCAAGAAATATTTTAATGACAAATACCTCCTGTACATGGTCCGGTCATGAGATCTTTCAGGGTAGTCCTACACATTTCACGCCACTCCAACAACCTCACACTCAAACTCAAATCAGCAGGAAGCTCTTCCCAAGCCATTTTACCCCTGCCACCCATCCCTTCCTACCTCCCACCCCTCAAAAAAACAAAACTTACACTACCGCCTCAACTACCTCCCGCCATGGCCATGGCAAAACCTACAGAATTCTACCGTACTCTGAATCTAACCTATCCACCTAGCTCCCTATCAACCTATCTGCCTATCTCTACTGCCCCACTGCATCAATTGAAGCCTGAGTGTGATATGCGGAAATCATAGCAGAAGACCACTATGATACTTGTTAGACCAGAAAAGTGAAGAGACCGTCTGATGTCACCAAACTTCCAACTTTCTGAGAAAAATAAATTCAAAGTTAAATTTAGTTTGAAACTTTTGAGTTTCAGTAAAGAGAAGCACATCAATGGTTATTAAATGTATGAAACAAATAAGAGACAGGCAAAAACAACAATGGATACGAAAAGAAAAGGTCCCGCCATTGGCACACCCCACCCAAAGCTGGACAAACAATTCATAAAAATCTGTTAATATAAAGTTTCCCTTTTTTTAAATCTTGATACGATACATTTCCTGTAAATTAAGAATTTTAAAAATCTAGATTCTAGATCTAGATATCTAGATCTTTACAAAAACAAAGATCTTTTTGGCGTCAATAATATTAAGAAAGACTGCATGTTGGAGCAATCTAAAAACACTAACATTGGTAAGCATATCTTTGAACTCAACACATTCTGTCAAATTAGCCAAGCAGTTGTTTTTAAAAAAAATTGACATCTGAAGCAGAAAGGATTCTTTTATCCTTCAAGGAGATTCTTCACATGTGCGTGTCCAATTTTTTACCAATCCAAACTTCCGTTTTTCTTATATTAGAGTGATTGCAAAAAGGTGGATGCAGCCGATTGAAGGAGAAGTACTAGATTCTAGATCTAAATCTACCTTACTAAGATACAAAGCAACTAATTTCATGAAAATGTTTTCAGTTGAATTAGATCTAGATCTAGATCTAGATCTAATTAAACAAGCAAATATTTAGTTCCTTATATTTTCAGGAACCATTTCTCATTAGACATAACCACAGGCAGTTTTGAGACACACCTAAAATACTCAAAGGGAATTTTCAAGCGGTACTTAAAACTCATGAGTCGGTATTCTTTTAATTTTAAAATAAAAAAGATTTAAATTCCTAATAGGGGACCTAAACTAGATCTAGATCTAGATCTAAGTTTTAGTGAGCAACGGATAGAGAAAGACGAGATGGAGAGAGAGAGATCATCCACAGAGAGAGATGGAGAGAAGAGATAGAGAGATGGGGAAGGAGGGAGCGAGGGGCAGAGAGAGGGGGCAGAGAGGGGGCAGAGAGGGGGCAGAGAGAGGGGGGAAGAGAGAGGGGAGAGGGGGAGGGAGAGAGATTGGGGCGGGAGGGGGGCAGGACATGAAATAATGAAAGTAGAAATCACCAAATCAGAAAGAACTTGGAGGATGGGTTGAGGTGTGGGGGGAAGGAGTGGGTGCAGTTTGAGTACTGAAATGCACAACCGTAGCCAGTCAGAGCACGGGAAATACAAGCGAGACAAAAACAACGGACAAACAGGGAAAGAGTAAGGGCCCTTCAGTCTGCACGGGAGGGTTTTTCAAAAGAGAAAAAAAAAAAGAAAGACTAAAACAAATAGCATACCTGAATAGTTTGGGTAGATTTCATAAGGTCAATCACAGGGGATGGTAAGGCAGTGTAAACGTTGAATCACTGAATCACAAGTAGATTCTACCCGAATTGTTGCCAGCCCCTTACTCTGCAAAGGCTGGCTTTGAAATGAAAATTTTAAAGTCTGCTTAAAGTAGAGAGAGAGAGCAAACTGAACTATATTCATAGAATTCATAAAGTAGCTGTCTGCTGATTGGCTGTAGGATCTCTGAACTTCACTCAGATCCCTGGTTGAGACTCACGCTTTTATTTTCAGCCAAGGCCAAGAGTACTGTAAACTGTCTCCACTTTCGATCACAAGGTTCCACAAAGGCACAACATGGCCTCTCCTCCCTCTCCCCCCCCCCCCCCCCTCTCTCTCTCTCTCTGTCTGTCTGTCTGTCTGTCTGTCTGTCTGTCTGTCTGTCTGTCTGTCTGTCTCTCTCTCTCTCTCTCTCTCTCTCTCTCTCTCTCTCTCTCTCTCTCTCTCTCTCTCTCTCTCTCTCTCTCTGACTGATTTGATTCCCATAGTTCAGATAGGAACTCAGTTGTTTTTCTCCTCCCCCCCCCCCCAAATGTCCTATGTCCTTGTGGAAAAGCATGTACTGTGGAAAGAGTTTAGCTCAGCGAAACACGTGTGTGGAGTGTGGAATGCATGCCCCTGAAAAGTCTTTGGCTACGGTAGAATAATATTATTGTATGCCTATTTTGAAAACAGAGTGTGCAGTGTGTTGTGAGTGTGTGTGTGTGTGTGTGTGTGTGTGTGTGTGTGTGTGTGTGTGTGTGTGTATGTGTGTATGTGTGTGTTTAGAGAGTCCGAGTGGGTATGTTTGTCGGTACATGAGTTGGGGGTGGAAGAAGAGGTAAAAAAAGGGCGCAGTCTCTTTGTGTGTGAGAACGCATTCTGCCAGACACAAGACCATCTTACTTGTAAGATATAGCCTAGCTTGGGCCCAACCGCTTTCCTCTTGGAAGAAATCTTTTCGTTCGTGCCGCCCCCTCTCTCTACTCCTCCTCTCTCACTTTGTCTCCTCCACCTCCTCCTCCCTCTCCTTCTCCTCCATTCTCTCTCTCTCTCTCTCTCTCTCTCTCTCTCTCTCTCTCTCTCTCTCTCTCTCTCTCTCTCTCAATCTCTCTATTTATCTATCTATCTATCTATCTATCTATCTATATATCTCTCTCTATATCTCTCTATCTCTCTATCTCTCTATCTATCTCTCTCTCTCTCTCTCTCTTACTCTTCCTTTCTCCCCCCCCCCCCCCTTCTTTCTCTTTCTCTCGTTCCGCCCTTCCCTTTTTATGTTTTCCCCTTCTGTCTAACTGGTAACCCCCCTCACATAGCCTTCCTCTAATTCCTACGCCTGACTTTCTCTCTCTCAGGGGGCTCTCGTGGCCTAGAGGTTAAGGTGTTGGCCTCTCATTCAAAGGTCACAGGTTCGAATCCGGGTAGCGACCGAACAATTTTCTTCTCTAAAATTGTCTCCTTTCACCTCCTTTCCTACTCTCTAGCAATGTTCTGTTGTCTGCTTTCATTTCCACTTTCTGCCCCCACCCCCTCACCTCCTTTGCCCCCTCCTCTGGGCTCCTGACTCTTTCTGCAGCCTTTCTACTGCTACTCCTTGGCTCCTCCTTACTGCTGTCTTTCTGCCACACCCCTGATCTTCTGGTAGGAAAGATCTACACCTAGCCTTCTCGGACAAGAGTGAAAAATCTCGGAGGGCCCGTGTGCAAGTTGCGCACGTTAAAGATCCCTTGGTGGTCTAAAATCGATAAGAGTAGGCTTCGGCCGCCACCCGGGCAAAATTCAAAATTTCCTACCAACTGAAAATGTTAGGTGTGTCCCGCGCGCTCATATGACCTTATACAGTTGTGAGCGCCGTAAAACACTTTACAAAAAAAAAAAAATCTCTCTCTCTTTCTCTTTTTCTTTCTCTGTCTGCCTTAGGAAATTCGTCTTAATCAGCTGATCGCCCCCCTCCTCCCCCCACTGGCCACGTATTGAGGCTAATTTTTATAGCTGTTTCACTTTCATTTTTCCGTAATTAAAACGGGATTTTAAACAATCGCTTTGTTGAACCTTCAAGGGCCTTATAGCTTGCCATGCGGGTCAAAATTGTTTTGTTTTTTTATATAGTGTGGGTATTTTTACCTAGGTATACACCCAGTAGATTGGCCGAGATTCTCGATAACAATTATCATTTTCTCCCCACTTGGGAATCAAACTTGAGTGTCCTGTGTTTGACAGACGTGGATACCTGAAGGTGTCATCTCTGACTCAGAGGTTGACGTGTAATGACCCTCTATCTTTCATGGTCGCGAGCTGCCGTTGCATATTCTGCCATATGCCGGCCAGTCCATGTTCTTATGTTGTCCATCCATGTTATTCTTTGCCTTCTTCTGGCTCTCCTGTTCCACATCTTTCTTTCAAGCTCCTCTTTCACAATGATCTCGTGTCGTTTTAGTGGCCATAGTATTTTATTTTTGTACATTTTATTTTATTCAGCAGCGTTTGTCGTGTGTGTAGAATCTGACCCACCTCTTTTTTTCTTTCTTTTTTG